GGGTGTGGGGTGCATAGAAACATGGTCACCGTGGGAATCCAGGAAGTGGGGAGCTTATCTTAGGAAAGGAAGGCTTTCTATGGTTGAAAGTGCCTAGTCAGCTCTAATCTTCATCATCGATGGCTTCTGACCTTCAGTGCTCATGGGAACCCTCTGCCCCCAGCCCCCATCAAAGGTCTTTTAGGGGATGGAGATGTAGCTCAGGAGTGCATATAGCATACATGAAGTCCTCTGTTCAAGCTTGGGAGAGAGGTCGTGTCTGTTAGAGCTAAGTCACTAGGGTTAAGCAGGAAGATGCAACAGTCAAACTACTGTAAACCAAACTCCAGGCAGAGAGCTATGGGCAAGCCCAGGCCAGACCTACCCTGTACTGTGCCTCAAAGCCTTGCTTCCCTGACCACACATCCCAAGGGAGCTCCTTCTCCTGGCCCCAGCAGTCCAAAGCCTTGGAGAGAACCTGAGATTCCTTAGCCTGGAGAAGTACAGAAAGGGTTGTCTGGGGCTAAGGGGTGACTTTTAAATCCATTGTGGATGTCTATTTAATTTTTAATTAGAAAGAAATTTTAGTTTTTCTGTGTAATACATAAAATGCTCTTATTGTAAGCAATTCCAAGTAAGGATAAAGACAATATTGCCCCTGACCCTTCCCTTCAATGTCACTTTCTTTCTTCCCTGTGCTCCGTGTGTGGAGTTTGATTCCCTCAGCATCTGTGGAGTTTTCACAAAGAAGGGAAAATCTGTGTCTGCCAGGCTCACTCTTGGGAAAGGCACCAAACTCTCCCTCCCACCGAGCAAGTCCCTCTTGCTAGCTAATTATCTCCTGAAAGAAGCCCACCCTTCATCATGCAGAGGCTGTCAAAACACAGGTGGTGTTTTCCTTGCTTGGTTTGTGTTGTGTGGTTTGGGGTAGCAGTCAGAAAACAAGGTTATCAATGCGCATGTTCCCTGAGGCAGTGTGCTTGGGCTTTTAATATCCATGTAGTTTCTCCCTGAGAAAATGCATGAACCACCAGGAGGGGGAAGGTGCAGGGAAAGTAAGGAGGTGGGGAAGCAAGAGCTTGGTGAAAAGAGGCAAAAGGCCTGTGGGAGTAACAAGACTCAGCTGGGAGAGACAGGCCACAGCCACTCTGAATTTCCCAGGAGGAGTTCTCTCTAAGAGTCGTTCTTTCAAGGAAAATTATGGCAAATAGGACAGAGCCAGGAAGTGGCTGGTTATCAGTATTCCTCCCTCTCTGACCTAATTACAGGGAGATTGTTTTGGCCATGGGCAGTCATTTCAGGTTGTGTTTTCCTGCCTGCCTCCCCCACCTCCACCTGTCTTCTTAGAGGCTCCAGTCAAGGTTATTGCAAAAGCACAGAGCACTGTGTAACACCAATGCAGGCAGATTAACCTTTGGGGACGGGACCACGCTCACGGTGAAGCCGAGTAAGTTGCCTTCTTCTTAGCCTGGGCCTTTAGGGGAAATCAATCAAATCATTAGCTTGAAAAATACTTTAATTTTATGCATCTGCTTGGGCTCTTTATTAATATAATTAGGCCAAAAAAAGAGCTGTTTCTCTCCCCTGATTTAAAATGAGATGGGAATAGGGAAGGGCAGGGAATAAAAATATAAACAATGTTTAAGCCACTGAGGACATTAGGAGGGAGCTCTAGGGAATCCAGTACCCCAGCACTTTTGACTAGACTTTCTAGCAGGCTCCCTGGGCCTGTAGGATGCACTTTGGTTCTCTCTAATGGTCAAGAGCAGAAAAGTCCTCAGGCTTCTTCTCTGTGATCAGTTCCAAAATCTAGCAACCCTCACTGTCTGAAAGTACTTTCTCACATTTCATTCTGATCTCTGCTGCGATTTAAATTACTGGAAAGAACAAAGCGGACTTTGTACATCTGGATTAAGAAAAGTAAATATCTTCCCTGGAACGTGAGGCTCAGCACTGAGTCCCATCCTAAGACTTCTGTGGAATGCCCTTTGCCCTCCTAGACATTTTAAGCTGCAGCAATGATGGGCTGGGCACTACAGCATCAGCTCTAGAGACAAAATATCTGAACACAAATTTATGTTCTACTCCTTAACCAGCTGAGTAATCTGGGGTGAGTTTCAGCTTTTCTATCCATAATATGAAGATAAAAATACATCTTCCCTGATGAATTATCATGACGATCAAATGAAATAATACAGTTCACATATTTAGCATAGTGCCCAGGACACAGGGAGCCATCATTAAACCTCAGCCATTAATAATAATGACATACGTCATCTCTGATGCACGGCAGAGCTTTTGCTTCACCCTTTGGGCTTTCCTGTCAAGGCTCTGTCACGCAGCAGGAGCAGAGATGGAATAGAAGGGAGGGTGGAGGGTGTCAGCCTGTTCTGTGAAATTCTTCACCTGGGATTTGACACTGAAAATAGAAAGAACCCTGACTCATTTCAATAATAATAATTAAAAAAAGAAACATTGTGGTGTCAGAGGCAGGAGCACAGGGACAAGGGCAAGGTTTCTGCAGAGCTGCACAGCCAGGCTCTTGGGGCCACCCACCAACTTGACCCCAGAACAGCACAACTTCCTCCAAGATACCTGGAGCCTCTTTCCCAAAAGGGGTTTCCATATCACCAAAATACAGGGGAGGCTTTAGAGGAAAGGTAACCTATCTCAAATTGCCCTGCTCTTCTGGGCAGTGGTGCTCACTAGAAATCTGGTTCCTAAAACTCCTCTGCCTCTGACAAAGCTCTCAAGCCTGGAGAGAGAAGCTCAGCAAAGTCCACGAATGTGAATGAGGACCATGTATTTCAGGGGGAAGCTGTGAGGGCCAGGTGGGCACTGCCCCATCTCTAAGTCTGGGAAAGGAGGTATTAGACAAGACTGAGGGGCTTCGCTCTCCAGCCTGGCCAGGACACAGAGCATAAACTGCAGCTGATACTGCAGAAGGGAGCACATTAGTGGTCAAACCTTCTTAATAGGTTTTTGAATGGTGGAAATGAGCTGTCAGGAGTCATAGCCAGCGCACTTTCTCCGGAGGATTTTTGAAAGGAGATAGACACCTCCGGTCAGGGGTGAGTGAAGTGCAGTTCTGCCTCCAGGCGTTTGGAGGAATAAGAGAATCTTTTTAAGCTTTCTGTAGCCTCCAGAGCCTCTCTCTGTGAAAATACAGGACTGATTAATGCAGAGTTCCAGCCTTTGGGATGCATACATGGCTTACTGGGCTAAGTCTTAGAACCATTGCTTGCTGTTTCCCAAACTCCCTTTGTTCTCGGGACTCAACAGACAAAAGGGACTGCTTTTGTCTTCTAAAGCCAGAGCTGCAGGTTCCAGGTCCCGAGTCTTGTGGTGTGGAGAGGCCCTGGGGGCCCAGGGAGGAAGCACTAGTGAGTTTTTGTTGAGCACAGAAGCACTGTGCAAATAACTATGGCGGGCAACTGACCTTCGGTCTCGGCACCAGATTATCTGTGTATCCCTGTAAGTACACCATAGTGACAAGACGCGATGAGTACAGTGCTGGTGTGGAGGTCAGCTGGAGGGACCTGAGGGCAGAGGTCCACTGTGATCTCAGGAGGGGCTGAAGGACAAGCTCGTGAGGACAGAGGAGGAGAGTTGGCTCACTGGAGGTGTGGGAATTCAAGCTGTGGCTCCCACTGGAGGATTTGCAGTACAGGTTCCCTTCTCTGGGTGCTTTGTGAGGGAGAAACCTGAGCTGGGTTTTGATGCTGAGAGAAGCACTGTGCAGAAGGACAGTGTCTCCTCTGCCTCTGGGACAGGGACAAGGCTGCTTGTGACGCCAAGTAAGTGGCCAATAATTTGAATTATGCACTGAGTAAATTTATCTCCAAAAGGACAATCTATTCCCCAGGGGCAAGGGGACTCCTCGAATCAAAAGTACATGGGCAGATGAACAAAGGCCCAGTATCTTCTCACCTCTTCATCCGAGGAGGAGGCAAGGGTGGAAGGGGAGGAATAGCACGTGGACTTCATAAGAACCTAGTTCTGGGCTTTGTCCACGCTGCCGCACTTCCAGTGAACAAACTGTCTCGTGGCAGAGTCTTGCTCGGCAGTAAATTCCAGCATAGTTATCCCCACTTGGTAGATTTAAAAACTGAGACAGAGTTCAGTGATTGGCATTGCTCCAACAAGGACAGAACAGGCACTGAGACAGGCTTGCCACTAGACTCCAGAACCCAAACCCCAGGCTCTTTCCAAGAGTTGAGACAGGTGGTGGTCACACCCCAGTGGCACTGAGGAAGGGGTTTGGGGTCAGATAAGCTCTGAGAAACGAGGACTTCCATCATTGCAGAATCTTGAAGTCAGGCGGGCTTTATGAACCCCACGGTGCCTCTCTCTGGCTGTACTGCACAGAGAGTATGCCTCAAAGTCTTGAAAGCAGAGAAATTAAAAGTCTTGAAAGGAGAGAAATTAAAAGAGAAGAGAAAGATGTCTCTCGCATCATGCAGCCCCCTCATTTTGGAGCAAGACTGTTTCCCCAGGAGCCGTTTGTCTTTATTTAGCAGCTGTCTTTTCTGGGGAAGCCATTTTGTAGAAGTGTTTGTCACAGTGCAACAACTACCAGTTTGGGGAAATTGCAGTTTGGAACGGGAACCCAGGTTATGGTTACCCCAGGTAAGCCCAGTTGCATGGAGCCTTGGCGTCCCTTCTTCTTAACCTTTGTGTAACACTCCTTTCCAAGTAAGCCTTTGAGAAACACATTGGGAAGGATGCCATTTCCCCCAGACAACAATATCCAGAGCCATTAAGCAATAATGAGACAGCATTTTGGTATTAAATAGAAACATTTTGGATAAATAGGACTCCGCACTATTGTCTATCAGACTCCTACGTGTGAGCGCTCTGATTCTTCCTCAGAAGAAGTTACCGTAAGAAGCGCTGCCATGATTCCTGCTGCAGCGTGGAAACAATCAGCTATGGTTTGGGGGGTGGGTGATTAGAAATGTGTTCAGGCAGATTGGACATGTTTTTGACAGGGTATGTAACACAGTGTGAATTATAACCAGGCAGGAAAGCTTACCTTTGGACTGGGAACCAAGTTATCTATCAAGCCCAGTAAGTATAAAATTATATCCTTGGATTAAGCAATGTCTATGGGTTAAGGGCTGATTTTGACTCAATTCTACACTATGTAAAGAATGCCTACTGAGGGGGAATGGGGGTCAAAGAGGAGGCCAGAGTCTCCCTGCTTAGGATCTGGCAGCTCAGTTCAAAATGAGCCATGGAGGAATCATTCTGGGAGTTGCTCCCAGAATATATGCATCGGGACTAAGGATACCTGACTGATTGCATGGGCTTTGGCTGGGATTGTGGTCCCTGAATTTGTGCAGTAATCAGTGACAGGATTTCTGATTCCTTAATGAGCTCTCTGGGGCGCTGTTCACTTTGAGGTTACGTCCCTGTTTAGAATGAATCTTTTGTAAATCATTATCACTGACCAAAGTAAGAGATGAGTCTCTGTCAAAGTCTGAAAAGTTACATTGGAAAAAAAAATATATTCTTGAGTCCTGAAGGACACCTTCCCTGTCTAGAACATTAGCCAAAAGTCCATATGATGTAGACTCGCTGAGCAGACTCTAAGACCATCCTTTCAGACTCTCACCATTTATAAGAAAACTGAGCCCACTGATCATCACGAGACAGCCGTTCTCTGGCTGAACTGAGACCAGACCTTAAGTCTGGGGCCAGAATTCTGAGAAATCCACAGGACTTGTCTAACAGATGGCCTCCTGCACCAACCCTGTGTCAGGTCCATACTAATGCCAGGGATCCAGGAGGATCCAGAACTAATGTGATAATGGCCTCACAGAACCTTCTGCTTGACACAGGTCCTATTGTTTTCTCCCATCAATCCAATGCTCACCGCGACCTCTTCTGGGAATGGTCCTTGTCTGCTCGTCTTACTACCTTAGGAAAGTAATGGCTGTTTAAGTTCTCAAGACCATTAGCAGATAAAAATCAGCACAGATATCGGTGTAATGATCTATCCTGTCCCTTTAAGAGATGTGACCCATATAAAGATGCCTAAAATTGAAATTAAAAATGTCAATTTTCTTGTAACTTGATCTTAACAAAATTATTTCATTATGAAAGTGGAGCCAAGTTAACTTGCTGCCAGCTCCATGTCCACTGCAATTAGGTTCTACAAACTCAGGCTGAGGATGAGGATTAGGGCAGTTTTCTTGAAGCATATCTTCTTGGTGCCCTCAGTGGAGATTTTTCTCTGTTCTGACATTGTGAGTTTCTTTAAATACAAAAATCTGCATGTTGGTTTGACATCTAAAATCAAAGAGCATTTACTGTATAGAGTTTAGAAACACATATTTGATACTCAGAACTCTGTGGTGAAAAAAGGAAATGAAAGATTCCCCTAAAAGGATCTATTTCCTATGGAATTTCTAATTCCATAATTAGAAAGACAAAGGAGGACTCATTTAGAGTTTGTACATAAGTGATTTGGTTATATATGCACACACACACACACCCCCATGAGGTTTTTGTGTTTGGGTAAATCACAGTGCAATCTCTGGCGCAGGCTGGCAACTTACCTTTGGATCTGGAACCCAGCTGACAGTTATACCTGGTAGGCCACTATAGTTAATTATTATTTACATCAACTAATTAGAAAACAAATGTGTATAAATTATTTTGAGAGTCTGGGGTTGAGAATGAGAAAGATTCACCAGCAACGTATACCGGGAAGGGTAAAATAGAAGAGAGTCGGTCACTAAAGACCACGTAGAGAAAGAGAAGCTTGACCAGGATTCCACAGAAGGGAGTGGCGCAGAAGCCAGCAGTCCCTGGAGCCTTGCTGAACCAGGCCTGCAGCCCACAGGGGAGCTCCCGCCCTCACTGTGGTCCCACTAGAACCAAACCAAATGCTGCAAGATGGCTTTACCCAGAACTATCTAAGTCTTAACAACTTAGACTAACAACCCAGCTAGGAAACTACATTTCTAGCTTAGAAATTCCAGCTTATGCCACACAAGTCCTTAAACACACTGGTGCCTGCTCAAGATATTTCAGTGCATCCCCGTTTTCCATAGTTCTCGGGTGCCCTACTGGCAGAGCATCCCTGCAGCACACCGCCTAGCACGTTTACAAGTCAGAGCAAGCAAGCCCCTGGCCCTCAAAGCTACAGAAGTCGTAATTATTGGCTTAGGCTGAGCCACCTCTACTTTATTTCTCATAACTGTGCTCATTTGTTGAGATCTGTTTAAATTCAGACGGTGTGGATGTGCAACTCTTGGCACTGGGGGTGTCCTGAAATTGTCAGTAAATATTTCCCATAAATAATGTTCCTTCTAGACTAGCAAATGACCGCCACCACTGCAGCCTCTTTTCTCTTTCTCTCTCTCTTTTTTTTTTTCCTGAAGGGAATCTGCAAGTAGAAAGCAAAAATAAAACTAAAATGTAGAGTTTTTCTGTGTGTGCAGGTTGAAAAGGACTGTCAGTGTCGAGGTCAAGGTGCAGTTGGTCGTGTAAACTAGGTACTCTGTCAACAGAGTCGCGTGGTCTTGCTGGAAGGCCCCTCCAGCTTACATGGCTCGTGATGTCCTGAAGAGAAGTTCAGGGGCACCTGCCGAGTACCATCCAGACCCAGGGTTAAGGGCGAGGCTTCAGCTAGCCCTACCTCAGGTAGAAGAAGGATTTTCCTCACAGTCAAGTCCACCTGAGGGGAGTTTTCTCTTATAACTAGGAGGGCCAGGAGTAAAGAGCATTTACTCAAGGCATTCTTGTTTCGAGTATTGTGAGCATAGAGTACAGAGACATAGGAATGGACCCAAGCAGAAACCTAGAGGAAAGAAATCAAAAAACACTGGGGAAATTCAGTTGTCCTTATCCCGCCTGTCTCTGATAACGAATGTGTCTTCTCGGCTCGTTCCTCACTGCCCACGACTCTCGCTGGACTGCAGAGAACTGGCGCTTCCTGTAGCTAGCACACAGCTTGGTTAGTCACGGGTCCATACAGAGCCTCCCTTTGAAGAAGAGGGCTTTTTGTAACAGCACTAAACATTGTGTGTCTAGCTACAATACATTATACTTTGGATCTGGCACCAAACTCAGTGTTAAACCAAGTAAGTTATACTTACCCACCCGTTATTCTAAATTTCTCCTCTCCATCTATATTTGCTGTGAATTCTTTCCGTTTTGGGTCCTCGCCCAGTGTTTTATTTTAGTGCTCCTTATCTCTACATCTCTTGAACAGATATAAACAAATCCCATGATCCCATAAACATTCTGAAAGAGACAAGGATGCTCTTGACATCCTTCATACAGGAAACTCCCAATGTAAGGAAAACTACTGCTTTTACTAATTAACACATAAAAACAGAATATAATTTAAAGTACCTCTGAGTATCTAGGATTTCATAAAGCAGATATGGCATATTTTATGCATTCATAAAAGATCCCATAACTAACATTTATTGAGCCTTTTCTGTATACAAAACCCCGGGTAAATGCCAGTTGCAGCGTATCTCAATTCACCCCTTGATGACACTCTGGGGCAGATGTTATCCCACTTTCAGGGGTAAACTTGAAACAGTTATCAAATGCTAGAGAGGAAATGCAGGGTCAAGCTAGAGCAGCGGGCAGGCCTGCACGTCCCCACACCAAACTCTCATAACCAGGGTCTTGCTGAGGTTTGGACCTGGTGAAGTAGCATGTGTTGGGACAGGAATCACAATGACTGTAAGATCAGTAAGTGAGATGCAAAAATCCAGAATGCTTTGCAACAAAATGGTGGATACATGCATGAGCAATTTCACATGGGAAGTAAGGTTAATGACCAATGAATAAATTCAAAATGAATTCTCCCTTTGGGTTAGAACCCTAGCTTTTCTGCCACTCTCTCCTCCCTCACCACTTCTTCCTCGGCAGATGGACTTCCTTCTTAGGGAAGCCCTTACAGTGATGTATTTGTTGAGGACGAAGTCCTCAAAAGGTCAGGTAGAAACAGAAAGGCTGTCTCCGGGGCACACTGAGACTCTTAGAAGATGGCTTTTCCAATATTTGAAGAACTGTTATGGAGATGATGGAAGGCTTAATCCCAAAGGCAAAATCAAAAGCAGTAGATGAAAATGTATCCCAGCATTCCCTAAAAGCTTCTGAACAGGTGGAGCCACTGTGCGCAGGCTACTCTGTGAAGTCTGGAGATATCCCTGTGAGATCTTCACCCTGGATCCTCAGAGCCAATGCACAGGATATTGTGGAAGGGATTTCTGTGACAGTTTAGATGCTGGACTCGATTAGCTCTGACATTCTGTCAACTCTAAATGCTGATATCCCCGTGACTCTTGCATGGAAGCAAAAAGGGTGAGCTAAACCTGTTTCTTCTATTTTTAATATTTTGATAGCCAAGAAATGGGCCATCAAGTTGATCAAGTTGAAGCCTACAGAGATTTTTGCACTTAAAAGATAATGAAGTATGATTTCTCGGTGCAGTAAATGGGGAAAGAAGAGGTACCAGAGATGAAAAAGAAAGAGAGAAAAGGAATACCTCAAAAGAAGACCAGAGGTTGAATGAGGGCAGAGGGGGTGATTCTGCAGAGGACAGATCTGACCTGCCAAAGTTTTCACAAGTTCAGCTTTGGAATAGGATCCAAGCATAATGTCAGTCCTAGTAACTGGGCAGCCTTTAGACTGGGGAATAGGACCAGGGGAATGAAAGTACTTCTAATTTAAACACTCTCAAAAGGCTATATAATTGCTTCCTGATAGGCAAGGATTCTGAAGGCAAAAAGACCATTGTTACCACAGATCATTTGTCCCGTAGGATGCAGCCCTGAGACAGACTATCTGCCTTAGGCTGCTGGCTGCACAGGGGAAAAAAAAAAGTTTGGGGCTGCTTAGAAGGAATGGAGGCCAGGGAGAGAGGATGGGGAACACTGGGAGCAGGTTTGTGTAAAGGGGGCTAGCACTGTGTAGACCGAGGTTCAACCTTGGGGAAGCTGTATTTTGGAATCGGGACTCGGCTGACTGTCATACCTGGTGAGTGGGCTCCTCTCTACTCCAGGGACACATTACTGTGGAGAAGCTTTAAATGGGGACAAGTGA